ACAAACAAAAGGGGAAAATCTGCAAACGGCGCTTTTGACTCTTGCGTTTCTCCCTCACCAAAAACAAATGTTTGACTTTTGCATGAGGTCTTCGTTTACGTTATATGCTATGAACATGTATGTATATGCAATAGCGAATGCTGTACATGCTATGTGGTGTAGAATCATTATCAATAGTTTATAAACCTTGGTCAATCCACTGCTGGATGAAGGTCTCCCCATGCCGTCTAAGTCACGGGGGTTGTTTTGACCATACTTCACCATGTTAGTCAGTGCACATCGGTGAAGGGGTGTGGGGGTGACCCAGGGTTGGTTCAGATATCACTCGCCACTGATGCTACCCAAGGCTGGTAATTAAGCTCAGGTCGCTGGGTTCATCGTGCAATGCGCTAACCAGAGCGCCGCCACTCCACCCATTTATTTTCAAAACGACCTCGGAAACGATCTCTTTAATGACATACAAGCAGCGGAGTACACTAACCACAATCCCACGATGGAATGAAAGCATTGATGAGTGTCCATTCCAGTGGCGGCTCCTGCAAAATCTCTCAGGGGGGGCAAATGTCTGGATGATTGATAAGGATAAGGTCCACCCATGCAATGGATAAATTAACAGCTTAAGCATGTAAAGGCAACTTCACTTCTTTAATATTAATGAAAAATAAAGTGACTCTTACAATACATCTTGTTTGTTTCTATACTCACTATTAAAACAAACCACTCAAGTTTATTTTATTAAAGATTCCACTAGGTGGCAACAAATTATATTGTTGGATGAAACGTGCTTACGTATGATGACGTAAGCACGTATGATGACGTAAGCACGTTAGGGCGAGCCCTCCCGGAAGCCATAGAGAATGCATTGCAGCGCCACTCGGGGCGATTCTCAGCCGGAGGGAAATCGCCCAAAAAGAGGCGGTACTCCACAGAACGTGACATGACGCTGATTGGACTATATCCAGAGGCTGCAGTGACGGCTAGCGTGACTCTGTGGTTGAATGACATTGGTGGTGCGTCGCCCAATCGCCCTAATGAAGAAACCGCCCCTGGTCCATTCATCGTATGTAATGATGCCGTGCCCTCATTATGTCATGTAAAACAGGGGCAAATACATTATATATGTCAGTGCCTCTCACACCACAACCTGCCAAGACCCACACAGACAGGCCGACCGCCAGCCAACCCTTCCAGGATCATGCCCTGGCCCTGTTTACGTAGCTGGCCGCCGCTGCTGCTGCCGCTACTGCCGCTACGCTCTGTTGTCGCGCGTTCCCGAGTGGCTCGGTAAGCGGTCGGGCTACGACAGCCGGCACGCCGCAAACAACGGCCTCGTCGCCCTGTCCCCCGTCTCGCCCCGCGATTCCTCGCTGTTTAAGGCGCTCTGGGCAACACATGCGCACGCGCAAAAATATGCGTGTTGGGAGCTCATTCAAAAGCTACACACGAATAGGGCCCCCATTGAATTCTGCCCTGTGTGAGTTGTTTGGATGCTTGTAAGAGCACATTCTTCAAACGTCTGATTTTCATCTCGGGTTATATGACCGGGCTACTGGCTTTGCCACTGCATTCCAAAAGCTGGAGGCTGTAGGAAGCCACATTGAGGTTGTATCCCACCATCATCATTATTATCATGATCATCATCGATTTTTAATCTACAACTAAATAAAGACATCACTAAGGTGATGCGTTTTTGGTGGGTAATGAATGAACACTAACTATAATCTTCTGGCCGTAGTCTGCAGACATCTGCGCATAAAACTCATTAATATGTTTTTATTACATCGGTTTCAAAATAATTTAAAATCACCATCGGAATTTTTTGAAGCGATGACTCCTATCATTACTTAACGGCGCCTCTGAGATCTTTCCGTAATTGCCAACACGTGTCTTTCCATGACTGCGTCACTTGAAACGCTATCGCATTATTTTAGAACGGACGCCGTTCACAGGCGAAGTGCCCTGGCCACTGCACGCCTTCATGAGGACCCCATCCCAAAATCATAATCCCAGCGCAGCCAATGCCAAAATAAATCCAAACTGGGTCTGGCCAACAACGGCAGGGGGCATTGAAGATGACGACCGAGGTCTGTACGTGGAACCCCCGCGCTGAGCGGCGCCTAAGAGCGAAGCGGAGAGCAATATGGTCTGTTCTCACATAAGGCGTGTTGTTATAACACGAATTGGATATAAAGCTAAAAGAATAAAATCACGACGTTTCGGAGGCAACACAAGTCTCCGTCATCAGGTGGGACCGTCACAGCCAGATTCGCTGCATCAAGTACCTACGTGACTTTACCGAAAAAACTAAGAATATGAATCCTTGCAGTCACGAAAGCTTCAAATCTAGAATGGATATAAAGCAATGAATGTATTGGGGAACATATTTTTTATAACGTGGATTGTGTATTGGATACAATGCGATTAAGTGAACAGAACTATGTCACGCGAGTCGGAATAAGCGGTCGTACCGCTGCCTTGGTGTAGTATCATCACCAAACACGGGATGCTGCTGGATGCTTTTAGATGCTACCCATGCGCATCAGTCTTTGTTCAGCCTGCGTACACATCTCACGTGTTATCGCGGACTGTCCTTGACCCTGCATCATTATAACGCGATTTCTACATCACCCGGTGTTCATCAGGAACCCAACTACCCCGTTATAGGAGAACAGACTGCACCAATAATAATGATAACCCTGGTCAGACGCAGATGTGACACAGACGGGCGCCACTCCCTGAGCGCACGCCTCACCAGACACGGCACACGTGGGATCGTGCACAAGGCCGCTTTGTCTCGCTGCAAGGTCACGCACGTGGCGTCCTTCACGGGCGTTCTCCGTCCACGTTCTGACGAGACGCGATGGGATTCCCGGCGGCGCAAATTTTCGTGAGTTGAGATCTCTCTGGGGTTGCCACCTCGTACGTATCAAGGTGAAGGATACCTCACAATGCCAGAAGAGGGGAGAACCACTGATGTGAGGGTTGTTTTTGTCGCAGGACAATCCGTTAAGATGTTTGGTGGATAATTATACAACTGACAAGAACTGTACCAGGGAAGAATTATAGATTTCCCAGGAGAGCTGTCTCAAAAAGAGGCAAATCCCAGAAAAACCAGGACAGTTGGTAACCCGCTAATATTTACACATGAGCATGGTCACCACGCTACAAACCTCTGGTGAGCTGGGTTTAATTCCCGGTCAGGTTGATCATCAGTGGTGAATTACTCCCTTAGTTAGACTCAGCCGTAAGTGATTAACTGGTGCAGAGTGTGAACATCAGGTAAAGGCAGGCTTGGTTGTGGCCACACCGCTACTGTTCCGGCCTTAGTAGGTGCTCGTTAATGTTTATTCGGGGGACCTTTATGTTCTGTCTGTGGGTGTATGTGTTATAAGGGGGTGGGCGTAAGTTTTGAGAATGGTGGCTAGGGATTGTGACGCAAATATAATGTCAGACTTATTTAGTTTTTCAGTTTTATTACCAGAACGATCCCAGCTGTGCTGTCGCGTCAGACTACGTCTGTGCTCGAACGAGCATCGGGCTTCGTGCTCACCTCGAGTGACATCCCTCGGCCAGTGATAGAAACTCTACATTCCTATGCAAGTGTTTCAGTCCTTCCGCACGAAAGCTGCTGTTTATCGACTCCGGGAAAGATGACAGGCTGAGTTTACTCCTGACCCACTGACTCATGTCCTCCTCGTGCCCTTTCGAGTCTGAGTCAAGCGCACTAACAGCAGCACTCTACTCATGAATCTCCAGCAGCATAAATAAGCAGACGAAAGTCCGTTAAAATTTGAATAAACATTTTTTAGTCCTTCAAATCATAACAGCGTGTGATCAAGCAGCCAAACTCTGGGATAAGTTTCGACCATTTCAGTTGTTGAACAAACACGGGCCACGCCTGCACTTGCGCTAAAACGCAAGGCAAAGCTGCAGCGTCCCGTACCACTGTGGAGCTACGCGACCTCGGCGTTCAATTGACCGTGACCTCGACCACCCACACGGCCCTCCCAGGAGCGGTGGCCGGCGTGGGCTCGGGGTCAACGGCGTCGTAAACGCCTAACGGCCGAGCGGCACGTGACTCCACAGGGCGAACCGTACGCCTCGCCGAGTTTGCCGATTGGGTACAGGACAAAGGGCCGTCCACGTGGGGAATTGCATATTTTAAATTTTCGTATTTTGTATTTTTTTTACGTGGCTTACAATGCAACACTGACGCGTGCTTTGCGGTAATTCCGTACATACGATCTGGATGCCCGTATCGACTCGAGCGTTTACGTGTCTCACATCTTCACCATTTCAATGCCCTGCTGCGGTTTAGCCAAGGGGACCACCAGTGGCAGCTGTCCCTGTGCAACACAAGGTGTATGCAGTGCCGGGCTGCAACTGAGCATTAGTTTGCGAGCAGAAGGTGATGTTGCTCTTTGGTTTTTACTCAAAGCAGTAAACAACAGTTTATAAAATTTTGTACATTTGGACCGTGACGCCGCAACACATAGCATCCGCGAATAACGTTGCGGCGTCCACTGTGAAGCTGACCGCGTAAATCTATGGTCATTCCACTCGTGGGATTAACCAGGGCGGCCGCTGGCATGGGTGGACACCGTTCGGTTGCATCACCGCTCTTCCCCTGCTCTGTCGTCGCCCTCACACCACCCACACCACCCATCCCACCCACCCCACCCACACCACCCGCGATACCCACGGCACCCACGCCACCCACGCCACCCGTACTACCCACACCACCCATCCCACTCATCCCATCCACCCCACCCATGCCATTCACGCCATCTATGCCACCCGTATCACCCACACCGCTCACACCACCCACACCACCCACACCACCCACCCCACCCATCCCACCCACCCCACCCATGCCACTCACACCATCCATACCACCCACACCACCCACGCCACCCACCCCACCCACACCAACCGCGATACCCACGGCACCCGCGCCACCCACACCGCCCGCACCGCCCGCGTCGCCAGCATTGCCTCACCGGTAGGGTTGCGCGTCGAATCCGCGGTGGCTCGGGAAGCCCAGCATGCCGCACACGACGCGCGCCTCCTCCTCGGCCCAGCCGGCGTTGCACACGCGGCTCCACCGCCCGCCGTGCTTCACCTCCACCACGCCCTCGGTGACCGGCACGCGCTTCGCCCCGTTCCTCAGCACGGGCTTGAGGCGCACCTCCGTGAAGAGCCGCTCGCCCGGCAGCATCTGCCACGGGACGACGGCGACGGCGAGGAGGAGGAGGAAAGAGGGTTTGGGAAAGAGGGGCAGATCACACGGCGATGAGCGATTAAACTATTTTTTTATTTTTTTCCCAGGTAAGGCCCACTGAGCTATGTAGCTCTCGTTTAGAAGCAGCCTGGCTATCACAAATGATGGCTCACCAAAGTGGCTTATCTTGTGGACATTTGAGCATCCGGTTACTCTAAATGTGGAGGGAAAAACCGGAGGACCTGGAGACAAATCCACACGACCACGGGGAGAACATGCAAGCTCCAAATATACAGCAGCAGGCGTCAGGGTCGGGATCGAACCCACGACCTCCTGTATACTAGATGACGTAGTTAACATCTCGCCACATGGGCAATTCAATTTTCGTTGGGTTTGGCAGTCGTGCTGCGCGACTCCCCGATGTGGTTTTTTTTCCAGTTGTGCCGCGCGGTGCCCGGCGTCGTTGTCGACTCTGTTGTTCATGAAGAAGCTCCCGGCACGCTGCGGCTCCTGTTCACGATGTGTGCGTTTGGCTCGATGCGTGCATCGCGAGCCGGGGGAGATACGTTGAATCGAATGAGTAATTTGATCGTTCCACGCCCGAACGCGCTTGACAAATGGAAAGTTTGAAAACTACTTCTCTCTGCGCATAGCTGTAGGCTGGATGGAATAAAACTGAAGCCACTTTGGACTAACGAATGGACACTTTTTAAATTGCTACAAAATTGCTAAATAATTTGACGTTCTCTATGTGCTTGTTTGAAGCAGCTATTAAACAAGCAACCTACATTTGTAAACAGATACAAAAGCAAGCGACTGTGAAGAGGTCACTGTTTGACGGTCTGGTAAATATGAACACATTTTCTCTGCACGCTGCAGTTTGGCCGTGAAGTATAAATCACGGAGCAAAAAAAGTCCGTCTCCAATTTCACGATAAGATTTCACAGCCTTCGATTTCACCACAACTCAGATGTCCCGGGAGGAAACCCCGTGGACCCACGGAAGCTTCCTGCCCAAGAAGCCACAGAACCGCAAACGGGCGAAGAATAAAAACCGATCAGTACACACACCTCCCGGGCGACGATAACTTCGTGGATAGGAACACGGAATGGCATTCGGGTTGCACCTCGGTGTGATGCAGAGGTCGCAAACGGGTTTTGATTCCTTACCCATACCCGTACCCGGCCGCACCAGGGTCGCAAATAGGTACCTGTACCCGTACCCTACCCGATACCCGGCTACCCGTACCCGGCCGGGTACGGGTAGGGTACGGGTACGGGTTACGGGTACCCGATTGCGACCTCTGGGATGAAGCCATTTTGCAGGCGCGGGTGGGTTGATTCTAGGAACTTGAATTGTGAGAAGAGACAAGACGTTGGGAAATGAGTGATAAACAGTTACTCACCAGTGACTCACGGCCTACCCGTACCCGTAACTGGCCGCACCAGGGTCGCAAACGGGTACCCGTACCCGGCTGGGCACGGGTAGCCGGGTATCGGGTAGGGTACGGGTATCGGGTACCCGGTTGCGACCTCTGGTGTGTTGGTTACCAACTGGACTTGAACTCCAGAGGTCGTTGTGTGGCGGTTGAAGCAATGGGGAAGTTAATCTACATGTGCACGCTGCTGGGAGTCTGTTGGCAGGTTGCGGGTGGTGGGGTAAAGTGTGGGTACTCCCATCGCTCCCAAGATATCTGGTCAGTGTGGATGAGTAGGCCAAAAATACCCTCCAGAGAGAGCTGTCTCGGGAGCCACCTCGAGCGGAGGTCCTTCTGCCATTAGAGGAGTGAGCAAGGATTTGCAGGCCTGCTGCTCCTTTACCGAATGCAACGTCGCGCACAGCTCATCAATGAAGAACTTGTCATGCCCTATGTATGTATGTTGCACTTCTTTCGCACCGTACGTAACCAACCGTGTCAGTCATTGGGGTTGTTTGACCACTCTTCGCCATGCTGGTCAGCGTGGGTTAGTGATGGTGTTGTCGAGAACTGATTCGGATATCTTACTCTTTGGTTTTTTCGGTAAAGTCACGTAGATGAAAAAAAAGAATAAGAAAAAAAATATATGACTTATTTATTTATTCTTTTTTTTTCTACCTCTGTGACTTTACCGAAAGAACCAAAGAGTAAGGATCCTTGCAGTCACAAAAACTTCAAATCTAGAATGATTCGGATATCACTCGCTCTGGCCGGGAATCACATTGAGGTCACCGCTTTGATAGCCGAGTGCGCTAACCAGTACGCCAACTCTTCACCGCCACGACAATAACCTCAAGGATATATGGAACATGCCGTGCACAGTTTCAACTGACAACGTGTCGCCGATCAGCATCAGTGTCAGCAGCAAAGCCCCGTGACAGTCCCGGAGTGATTAATGGGAGACTTTGCCAGACATATCCCAGGGGTAAGCGGGCTTTTTCTTTGGTTGTCTGCGTGCTTCACAGCTGATATATCCATCCTCCAAACCCCCGCCAGCCGCCAGGGAATGTTCTCTGCAGTCACTGCATGAGTGAGACATTGGAAGATTGTATCTCTGGCCTTCCCATAAATGTTCACAATTTTGTTTTTACGACTCAGGAGTGCAGTGAAACTCCAGCATTCGTGAACTCTAACCGGTGTAATTTACCGCGAGGGTATATTCGGTGGCATGTACATGAACAGCCCCTTTGTCAATCCACTGCTGGATGAGAGGCTCCCCCACACTATGCGGCTCGTGGGGGTTATTTAACCATACTTCGCCACGCTGGTCAGCGCGGGTTGGTGAAGGTGGGCAGCGTGGAATATTTGGACAATAGCACTGTACACTCATGGCTTTTGCTGGACTGGTCTCCTCTTGAAAAGATAGCACCGCAACAGCCTATAACACCTATGTTCTGATTGCTGGTCGCCTGTTCCAAGCAATTTCCAGGCTCCCACCTGCTTAGCTTCTGAGATCTGACAATATCGGATGTGTTCTGGGTGATTTTGATATAGGTTTAGGTGAGCTGAAGGGGAACATTTTAGGACAGAAAAATTACGGGGCGAATGATGTACATAGAACGAATGGAGCAAATAGCCATGCAAAACAATGCTAAAATTGTAGCGATAAATACATACATTGTAGCCTTCCAAAGAGATAACCTAAAACGCCATGAACTGAGTCAAAACGGTATCCTGAAACAGAGCAACTGCGCAGTAAAAACACTTTTCCATTTGTTTCAGGCTGCAGAGGGAACTGCACACCTAATTCTAGATTTGAAGCTTTCGTGACTGCAAGGATTCATACTCTTAGTTTTTTCGGTAAAGTCACGTAGGTAAAAAAATTAAATTAATAAAAAATAAAATCTAAAAAAATCACATAGGCTCGCGAGATTTTATTGACCGACACTGCTTTGATAGAAACGAGCAACAACAGTGAAGGGACGTGTGACCTCGTTTCCGCGTGTTTATATATTTTTGTACAAGTTGTCAAATAAAGGGGGGCCCCAATTTAAGATGGAAAAGTCTCGCACGGCAGAGCGTCTGCTGTTAAGGGGTCTGAAACGCGAATCGGGCGAGGCGTCTCATTCCCCGCCTGCACGCGGCTGTGTGGTTATGCCGAACGCCGACTCCACACAACCAGTGGCGTTTACTTCTGAATCAAGCAAACCACAGTCCGGAGCGGCGTTTGAAAGTTTCTTTAACGCGCACCAGCGGGTCGCCTTTGAGGAAGCGGGGTTGGAATTTATTTTATTTCATAATTCTGCTTGCATAACTCTCACGCAGCTGGCTTAAGTGGTAATTGCATTCGCTCAAAGGCCAAGACTGGCAAACTGGCCGCGTGTCAAGATAAGCAAACTTCAATCCACATGTCAAAGTATCGTCACAGACCAGCCCTATACACACACACATATAAATAGACTGTATATATTTTACAAAAATCACGTGATTAGCATCTCTAGGAATAAGACAGAGTAGTTGTATAGACCACCAAGAGAGTGAAATGCAAGCCCTGATTTTATTCCTATTTATGAAACACATTCATCCGGTAACTGGGAGCCTCTGGGTTTCATTACCGGATGTCACAATATATATTGCACTATTTATGTTCATATGACTTCCTAATGTTAAATATGTGTTCATAAGTTCAACGAAGATTTCAGAGCAAGCCACTGAATAATTTTTTTCCAACTAAACATTTAAGGCTTATTTTTACAGGTAGGAACAACAGGTTCCACACTGCCCACCAGGGATTGTTTGTCTCTGTCGTGCATATTTGTCTGTCGTGCACAAATGCGCTGTCCTGCCAAGTTCCTACCTGCCCACTCCGAAGGAACGTGTTAATCGAAAGAAACATGGGTCAAAATAGCCACAATAATTAACAGTCCATTGTCAATTCACTCCTGGGTGAAGGTTTCCACATGCAGTGTTGGTCACGGCGGTTGTTTGACCATACTTCATCATGCCGGTCAGTGCGGGTTCACAACCAGAATATTTATACTGGAGGAATCCGATGAGCTATGAAGCTCATTTTCGCAGATGTCCAGTAGTTAGTGAAAGGGGAAGCTCAAACATCACTCGCCACCGATGTTGGCCATGACCGGGAATCAGACTTATTTCGTTGGGTTTATAGCGCAGGACGCAAACCACGACACCTCTGCTCCTTCGCCACGGTCAGTGAGGTAGCTAGCAAGTGTGCAGGCGGTGCAACTGCACCAGGGCACACAAGCCAAAGGGGCTCAAACCCTGAACTACGAAGAGCGGGGGAAATTGGACAGGGGCCCCTATTTAATTATTGACACCAGGGCCACACGATGCAAGCCACACGATGCAACTGTCCAAGATTAGGCTAGTAATAAAAATACAGTAAAAAAAAAGTAAAGTGCTTCATATCTCAAATGAGTACACGGCAGCGTTCATCTGCTGTTAAAAAGGCATTGGCGGAAATTCCACATTCCCATGGTGGGTGTGAGTTACTCATTCCGATCACCGCTGTAGTAACTGCATTAATGGGGGAGGCTATAATGAAAAATAAAGTGTT